TACATCTATCCTCAGGGTCAAGCATCGACTTAAGCATAGAAACATAGAAAACAACAAAAATAGAAAAATGAAGTCAACTTCCGGTTTAACAACAATATACAAAAAAGTAAAATAACAAAAACACCGAACTCCAAGGAAAATTCAAAACGGAAAGTCCCTTATCAAATGACAAAATCAAAAGCTCAAACACATCGAACGAATGGAAAACAACTGTCATATTCCTGACTTGGTACAGGCATTTCCTTGTGTAGAAAAAAGGTGGATTAAACCTGGTTTTATAGTTAGCTAAACCTCTCACAAGTGTCTACACTATTTTTCCAACTATTTACTGCCCCTAATCTATAAAGGTAATCTAGAAGAGACTATGAAAGAAAGATATGTAAGTTATCAATACCATTTGATATTTGCTTTATGCCGCCGCAGTGCAAAAGAAAGTTATATCGCGGCGAGTCTATCAAAACCAAATAAATTCCCTATTTGACAAAGAACATTAAATAAAGACAACCACTGATGAAGTTCCGGCTTGGTACGGGTTCTCAATCCTCCGTTTTAATCTCAATGAGAAGGGGTACACGGGAGTTCTCATTTCCCAAATCCCGCTTTTTTGTAAATCCCCCACCCCCTTACTTTCCATTTTTTTCCCCTACTTTTCTCCAGATTCCACCTGTTTCCTTCTTTTTCCAAGATATTCCACATCCCCACTGTTTTAAACACTATACATCCCCAATTTCTTAGCCTTTATATCTCACATCCCAAATACTTGTCAATCCCCTCCTCAATCAGTGGAAAAACAAAGCGTACATAAAAGTTGCACCAGGAACACTTTAATGTCAACTAAATGTAGTTTTCTTCACGTGGCATCCTATAGTACGATATAATGACCCTAAATCACCGGTATACCGTATAGATCAAAGATATATAACGACGCCGTTATTGTCAAAATATGTTTTGTCACTTGCGTTAATTGTATCATTAAGAACAGAGATGGGATATTTCATGCACAAATATAAACATGTCATATATACTACAAGGGTCTTGATTGGGGGCCCTAAATTATGTATGTTTTTACTTTTTAAGATATTTTTCTTTCTTCTATATTTTTGTGGACCATTATTCTCTATTATTTATATTTTAAGACACCATTATTCTCTATCCTTATTTTTGTGCTCTTGTTCACTACTATTTTATTTTTTTGTCCCTTGTTCTCTAATCTGTAAACCCCATCCAGAGTATGTTTATGTACCAGATGTATGCAATAAATGTATAAATGGGTATTGAACAAGGATATCGTTTTGGTCGTTTTAATTAATTGTGTATAGTAATTGGTGGATACAAGAAAACGTAATTCCAGTCTACTATTTTATTCTACAATTTCTTGCTATTGTTATTAAAATTACTACTTTATTATTATCGTCAAATCTTTATTAAAAATAATAGAATAGGAACAAAATAGTCAAATTATGAAATTTTATAATGCATTTTAACACAATTGCTGTTCAAATTTTAGAAACTGTAGTATTTGTTTTTATTTTTCTTCATCATTATTTTAAATTATTTATTTTATGATTCTACATTGAATGTTTAGCAACTGTATTTCACAGAAAGTTCAACCTGTAAAATTTATTTGACAGAAATCATGACAATAAACACAATAATTCTGTTATTAAAACATTTGTGTCTGCTTCAATTATTTTATATTGTGTACAATTCTGCATTGTTTGTCTTATAAATGAATAACCGTATTTCACAGTTATTTAAAAACATTTGACAAAAAATGTGACAATAATGTTTTGTACTTCACAATACGTCTGTTAATAAAACACTTTAACTGCCTTAATATAAACACGCTTTCATCAGAAAGACAGGTACGTGTATTATATTTAAACATCGTGACGACATTTTTAACAATATTTAAGTATAATGTTTATGCCTTTAAGTCAAATGTTAAGAGAATCTTAGTTAAATCATGTTCCTATTGTTGTCAATTTCACGATTATGTCTAATGCTACTACTACTTGTGACTAATTTATAAATTAATTATTAATGATAATGACAATAGATAGATTTAAATGTCGCACATCTTCTTTGAGCGGGTCATACAAGAGTAAGATGGATGTGACAAAATGACATGATAGTCTATTTATAGATTAATAAATTGAAATTATATATCTTTTTGATTTTCTCTCTAAAAAGGACTTTCATTGCGACTATTCGATTATTAACCATGCTTAAACTAGCAGAACTAGTTATAAATGAACTGCTCGGACTTTCTACATCTCTCTACATTTTAGAATTGAATGCTTCTTTTTTGTTATTTTATTGGGGTGTAAAAGCGTTGACCGAAGCATATTTTATATGAAGCACTATACTAAATATGTGCACGATAAACGCTTTTACAACTCTATAAATGACATAAAAAAAGAATTGCCACAACCAAAAAATTACGATTTAAAGCACATTTATCGTGTTTTCCTGTGCATTGTTTTGACCTTGTCATGAAAAGCACGTGCCGTCATAAATGTTGAATTATATTAAGAAATTTTATATATGAATGCCTTGCGATTGCATTTAGCCAATCAAAAGTACGAATTCTTATGAAATATGCATGGCATGTAATTATTGTCTTATATGAAACCATGAATGTGTTATCCATTATTCTGACAGCTGCAGAGATTCCAAGAGCAATCATTATCCCGGGGCATTAGATCACTGTTTGTCTAAATACATAGAAAACAAACCAACAAGAAATTGATATTCCAACCGATTTGTGCAGTTTGTTCTTATGCTGTACTGTTTCACCAATATGCTGTTATTATAATTGTTTTTTATTGCTTCAATTATCCTCTGATTTGTTTCACCTTTTGTCATGCCGGTGTCATTGTAGCTTATGTAGGTATAAATCCATACGAAGACCTGAAATTGTTTACACGCTTGTCCTTTAGACGCTTGTGGATAGCTGTCTCATCGACAATAATACTACAACTCCTTATTGACTGATGGTCCTAACTTGGGACTGATGACCTTAACTTTGGACTGATGGTCTTGGTTGAGACTGATGGTGCAGACTAAGCACTGATGGTCCAGACGTAGGACTGATGACCCTGATTTAGAACTAATATCCCCGACTCGGGATCATGCCCTTGACTAAGCACTGATGGTCCTGACTAAGCACTAATTGCCCTGATGTTGGACTGATAACCCTTATTTGGGACTGATGGCCATGATTTTGGACTAATGGTCCTGACTTGAGACTGATGGCCCCTACTTAGGACTTATTGCCCTAACGAACGAGATAGATAAATATATAGATAGAGAGAGATGTTCGAAGGGTGCTAGTTACATTCCGTCCCCTCTTTTGTTTCAAGCAACTCAATGATATATACACCGAAAAAATTGTATGAAGATATGAAGATTGACATGAGGCAATTAATCACATACAAATAAATCAAAATGACAGCCCATATAGGTGACATAAACAATGTTTGATGTTATGTCACTATATAAAATCATTAAATTAAAAGACACGTGCAAATGTCAGATTGGGTAGGGGGTACATGGTTATGTACATTAAAGACAAATTAAAAGTACAAAGGTCAGATTGGGCAGGGATGCAAGGGTGTGTACATTAAAGACGAATTAAAAGTACAAAGGTCAGATTGGGCAGGGATACAAGGGTGTGTACATTAAAGACGAATTAAAAGTACAAAGGTCAGATTGGGCAGGGATACAAGGGTGTGTACATTAAAGACGAATTAAAAGTACAAAGGTCAGATTGGGCAGGGATACAAGGGTGTGTACATTAAAGACGAATGAAAAGTACAAAGGTCAGATTGGGCAGGGATACAAGGGTGTGTACATTAAAGACGAATTAAAAGTGCAATGACAAGAGCAAAGATCAGATTAGGTAGCGATACAAGGTTATGTTCATTAAAGAATATCTTATTTTTTGGCATTTAAACGAGGACGGACAAAAATTAAAGGAAACAAAAACCTTGCATTAAAATAAGACGAAAAAGATGCCCCCCCCCCCCAAATTACCAAAGTAAATACAATAAAAATTCTGAAAAAAAATTGAATAAAAATTATGAAAGCGATATCGAGTACTGTGATTACAAAAAAGTTTAATCCGAGTTGCTTGAACTGGACTAAACTGGTACATGGTTTATAGGAGTTATCTGACAGGACAATACTAGGTTACAGTGGTAAATTTTAATTAAGGTAAAACTAGAATCTAGAAGGTCGTGGAATTTAAACAATGATCAAAATAAAATCAAGATCACTAATGCAAATATTATGATCACGGATTAAAATCGTTATGTATATCTTTTACAATGATAAAAGGATTTGAAGATATACCATATAAAAGATTTTTTGCTATTATTATAATTCAAAAAGTATTGAAGATATATCGTATGAAAGATTTTTTACTGTTACAAGAACAAATACCCGTAAGTAAATCATCGAAGCCTAGTAACACAATTCGTTAGACAATTTTCACAACGCATAATAAATAATTGAAATAATCTACCAGTTGATGTAATTGCTTCTAAAACTATTGAAGCATTTAAAATAAGTATAGACCGTCAATGATATGGACACAGATAGTTCATTTTCATTTTTTTAAAGTTGATGCGAAATATGGCACCAAACAATGCAAGATTGATATCTGTTTATAGTTTTTAAAAATATTACCAAAATCTGGTGGGCTAAAACGGATGGGACTCTCCATACGAGCCCCATAACGATCTTACAGGTATATTTGAAATGTTGAAATAGAAATAAGATTTATTGCACAAGAAAACGTGTACATACCAATGACGTGGTATGACAGTTTGTATAATGGTTTTACAATCGTACCTTAAAGAGAGGCTATTATTTAGGGTATATTAGTAAGGGATTATCCGATACCAGGGTTTCTGCTTATTCGAATTAGTGTAAAACATGTATCGTAGGGGTAAAAATAGAACAAATACGTGACAATTAATATTAATAAAGCTTACCCAACGGTGCATCAGGACATGTCCTCATAATTCGGACTAATTCTTGCGTCGCCTGTTCCATATCGGCGAGACGTGTTTCGACGTCATTTATAAAAGAAGAATAAGCGACATTGTGGCTCATTAATGATCCTCCCGTCATATTTCCTCCGCCGTGCTTTTGTCGCTCTTGATAAATAAAGTCTAACAATGTCTGACCGTTTTGCACAATACTTCTTAATTGGTTTTCTGCCGTTGTAAACATGTCTTGTCGCCATTGTGCATTTGTAAAAGAAACAACGGTCAGTAAAATTATACCAAATGAAAACATTTTGAATGTTTGTTTGCTTTTCTAAATAAATATGTTTTTTTCCCTACTGCTTCATTTGTAAAGAGATAAAATCCAAAATGAAAATAGTATCTATCCCTGATATAACACCGTGTCTCTTTTTACCCAGTGGACGTTTCCTTCTAATGGTTGATGGCAATGACAAGTTATATTTATTAGCATTTTGACGTGTTATACGAGCTCATTAGTATGCAAGCTGTATGTCGACCTCAGGCGAAATTTCTAACATTGTCTGCTGTCAGAAAAATAATAATAGTAGGTAAAAAGACATGCATTTGGTTTTTCCTCTATGTTACGCGAAAACGTTTTAATTTATGGGTTATATTAGTATCGTATTAAAACATGTAAACCGGAAGTTGACGAATTAATGCAAATCTTAATATAAAAAATGCGCAGTTTCATTATTATTGTAATGAACGGCTTGATTACTTCAAGTCACTAATCAGTATTTTTGAAACCGCACTTGAAAGAAATAAAAAAATAATAAAAGTTGTAATTCACCAATGAAATCACTTTACAATTTTCCGTACTTAATTGTCAATTATATTAAGGCTGCATAACTCAAATAAAACCAATATATTAGAGAAAATTGATTATTGGAAATGTTGTTAGAATTGTAAACTCTTTTTGAAGCAATATTATAATGTAAAAGCGTTGACTGTTTTGTTATACGCATGATCGACGCTTTAACAACTCTTTGAAAATGAAATGTTACAGTTTAGTGATAAACCAGAAGACTACTTCCTTTTTCTTAGTACCGTAACGATGTCATACAGAAAATTAAAAAAAATGTTCTGTTCCCCTCTGAACCAAGCGGCTACCTCTCGTAAACTAACCATTTTCTATATAAAAAAAAGAAAATAAAAGAAATCGGATATTGATAAAGATAAAATTATTCGACCACTTTCCTATTTGTTTAATAGAAGTTTATCACCAGTGTAGGGCTTAAACTAAGAATTTAAACATTTAACACTTGTTTCTTTCGTTAAAGAGTCGGAATCTCTGGCAGTGTAAGCATATACTGCCAGGTGAAAAGATCATAACGTTTAATTCCCTCTATTCTTATCAGATTTACAATCTCGCATCATAACGTTTAATTCCCTGTATCCTCATCAGATTTACAATCCCGCATCATAACGTTTAATTCCCTGTATCCTCTTCAGAATTACAATCCCATCATAGCGTTTAATTCCCTGTATCCTCTTCAGATTTACAATCCCGCATCATAACGTTTAATTCCCTGCATCCTCATCAAATTTACAATCCCGCATCATAGCGTTTAATTCCCTGTATCCTCATCAAATTTACAATCCCGCATCATAACGTTTAATTCCCTGTATCCTCTTCAGAGTTACAATCCCGCATCGTATCGATTAATTCCCTGTATCCTCATCAGATTTACAATCCCACATCATAGCTTTTTATTCCCTGTATCCTCATCAGAGTTACAATCCCACATCATAACGTTTAATTCCCTGTATCCTCATCAAATTTACAATCCCGCATCATAGCGTTTAATTCCCTGTATCCTCATCAGAGTAACAATCCCGCATCGTAACGTTTAATTCCCTGTATCCTCTCATCAGATTTACAATTTCGCATCATAGCGTTTAATCCCCTGTATCCTCATCAGATTTACAATCCCACATTATAACGTTTAATTCCCTGTATCCTCATCAGTGTTACAATCCCGCATCGTAACGTTTAATTCCCTGTATTCTCATCAGATTTACAATTCCGCATCATAGCGTTTAATTCCCTGTATGCTCATCAGATTTACAATCCCGCATCATAGCGTTTAATTCCCTGTATCTTCATCAGATTTACAATCCCGCATCGTCACGTTTAATTCCCTGTATCCTCATCAGATTTACAATCCCGCATCATAGCGTTTAATTCCCTGTATCCTCTTCAGAGTTACAATCCCGCATCATAACATTTAATTCCCTGTATCCTCATCAGAGTTACAACCCCGCGTCATAACGTTGAATTCCCTGTATCCTCATCAGAGTTACAATCCCGCATCATAACTTTAAATTCCCTGTATCCTCATCAGAGTAACAATCCCGCATCGTAGCGTTTAATTCCCTGTATCCTCATCAGAGTTACAATTCCGCATCATAGCGTTTAATTCCCTGTATCCTCATCAGACTTTCAACCCCGCATCATAACGTTTAATTCCCTGAATCCTTATCAAATTTACAATCCCACATCATAGCGTTTAATTCCCTGTATCCTCATCAGTGTTACAATCCCGCATCGTAACGTTTAATTCCCTGTATCCTCTCATCAGATTTACAATTCCGCATCAAATTGTTTAATCCCCTGTATCCTCATCAGATTTACAATCCCACATCATAACGTTTAATTCCCTGTATCCTCATCAGTGTTACAATCCCGCATCGTAACGTTTAATTCCCTGTATCCTCATCAGTGTTACAATTCCGCATCTTAGCGTTTAATTCCCTGTATCCTCATCAGATTTACAATCCCGCACCATAACGTTTAATTCCCTGTATCCTCATCAGAGTTACAATCCCGCATCATAACTTTTAATTCCCTGTATCCTCATCAGATTAACAATCCCGCATCACAGCGTTCAATTCCCTGTATCTTATCAGATTAACAATACCGCACCATAACGTTTAATTCCCTGTATCCTTTTCAGAGTTACAACCCCGCACCATAACGTTTAATTCCCTGGATCCTCTTCAGATTTACAATCCCGCATCATAGCGTTTAATTCCCTGTATCTTCATCAGATTTACAATCCCGCATCGTAACGTTTAATTCCCTGTATCCTCATCAGATTTACAATCCCGCATCATAGCGTTTAATTCCCTGTATCCTCTTCAGAGTTACAATCCCGCATCATAACGTTTAATTCCCTGTATCCTCATCAGAGTTACAACCCCGCGTCATAACGTTTAATTCCCTGTATCCTCATCAGAGTTACAATCCCGCATCATAACGTTGAATTCCCTGTATCCTCATCAGAGTAACAATCCCGCATCGTAGCGTTTAATTCCCTGTATCCTCATCAGAGTTACAATCCCGCATCATAGCGTTTAATTCCCTGTATCCTCATCAGACTTTCAACCCTGCATCATAACGTTTAATTCCCTGTATCCTTATCAAATTTACAATCCCGCATCATAGCGTTTAATTCCCTGTATCCTCATCAGTGTTACAATCCCGCATCGTAACGTTTAATTCCCTGTATCCTCTCATCAGATTTACAATTCCGCATCAAATTGTTTAATCCCCTGTATCCTCATCAGATTTACAATCCCACATCATAACGTTTAATTCCCTGTATCCTCATCAGTGTAACAATCCCGCATCGTAACGTTTATTTCCCTGTATCCTCATCAGTGTTACAATTCCGCATCATAGCGTTTAATTCCCTGTATTCTCATCGGATTTACAATCCCGCACCATAACGTTTAATTCCCTGTATCCTTATCAGAGTTACAATTCAGCATCATAACTTTTAATTCTCTGTATCCTCATCAGATTAACAATCCCGCATCACAGCGTCCAATTCCCTGTATCTTATCAGATTAACAATACCGCACCATAACGTTTAATTCCCTGTATCCTTTTCAGAGTTACAATCCCGCATCATAACGTTTAATTCCCTGTATCCTCATCAGAGTTACAACCCCGCGTCATAACGTTTAATTCCCTGTATCCTCATCAGAGTTACAATCCCGCATCATAACGTTAAATTCCCTGTATCCTCATCAGAGTTACAATCCCGCATCATAGCGTTTAATTCCTCATCAGACTTACAACCCCGCATCATAACGTTTAATTCCCTGGATCCTTATCAAATTTACAATCCCGCATCATAGCGTTTAATTCCCTATATCCTCATCAGTGTTACAATCCCGCATCGTAACGTTTAATTCTGTATCCTCTCATCAGATTTACAATTCCGCATCAAATTGTTTAATCCCCTGTATCCTCATCAGATTTACAATCCCACATCATAAGGTTTGATTCCCTGTGTCCTCATCAGTGTTACAATCCCGCATCATAGCGTTTAATTCCCTGTATCCTCATCAGTGTTACAATTCCGCATCATAGCGTTTAATTCCCTGTATCCTCATCAGAGTTACAATCCCGCATCATAACGTTTAATTCCCTGTATTCTCATCAGATAAACAATCCCGCATCACAGCGTTTAATTCCCTGTATCCTCATCAGATTAACAATACCGCATCATAACGTTTAATTCCCTGTATCCTCATCAGAGTTACAACCCCGCATCATAACGTTTAATTCCCTGGATCCTCTTCAGATTTACAATCCCGCATCATAGCGTTTAATTCCCTGTATCCTCATCAGATTTACAATCCCGCATCGTCACGTTTAATTCCCTGTATCCTCATCAGAGTTACAACCCCGCATCATAACGTTTAATTCCCTGTATCCTCTTCAGAGTTACAATCCCGCATCGTAGCGTTTAATTCCCGGTATCCTCATCAGAGTTACAATCCTGCATCATAGCGTTTAATTCCCTGTATCCTCTCATCAGAATTACAATCCCGCATCATAACATTAAATTCCCTGTATCCTCATCAGATTTACAATACCGCATCTTTGCGTTTAATCCCCTGTATCCTTATCAGAGTTACAATTTTGCATCATAGCGTTTAATTTTCTGTATCCTCTCATCAGATTTACAATCCCGCATCATAACGTTTAATTCCCTGTATCCTTATCAGGGTTACAGTCCCGCATCATAACGTTTAATTCCCTGTATCCTCATTAGTGTTACAATCCCGCATGATAACGTTTAATTCCCTGTATCCTCATCAGAGTAACAATCCCGCATCTTTGCGTTTAATTCCCTGTATCCTCTCATCAGAGTTACAATCCCGCATCATTACGTTAAATTCCCTGTATCCTCATCAGATTTACAATACCGCATCTTGCGTTTAATTCCCTGTATCCTCATCAGAGTTACAATCCTGCATCATAGCGTTTAATTCCCTGTATCCTCATCAGAGTTACAATCCCACATCATAACGTTTAATTCCTTGTATCCTCATCAGATTTACAATCCCGCATCGTAGCGTTTAGTTCCCTGTATCCTCATCAGAGTAACAATCCCGCATCATAGTGTTTAATTTCCTGTA